GTGTTACATGGATGCCTGGGCACAGAGCACTCCTCCAGGACAGGAAGCAGTGTCTGCAAGACGTGCAGTAACTGGCACACAAAACAGAAGGGAACCCACGGAAAGTAACTGTTTTCCATTTTTTCCTCCTCAAAAATTGAATAATGACACACTGGTTTGATAGAAGAGCCAGAAGAGATGAAGATATGTTTCCAATTTGTAGTCAGATATATTTATGAAAGCATTTTCCCACATACAGTAGTGTGGTTGTACCATACTAAATAAAGTAGAGGACAGAGGGAAAGAAACTTATCAATTTACTACGTGGTAGAAAGTCCAAATTACTTCAGTCAGCAGTTTGTAAAACCAAAGACACCATTGTTAGGAGATGAGCTCATAGGCAGAAAAGCCAACAGTTTTGTGGTATAGCTGGTTTCAAGAAGACTGGATATTTTCCATGGAGTAAGGGCTGGAAAAATTTTCTACAAAACCAAATGTATATACTGGTTAACCTTGGTAGGACTTGGAGTACTCTAAAAACAACGGAAGACAAACATTTGCAAAGGCAATACCATGGGATTTGTAACACACAGAAACATTCATTATAAAATGTCTCAAGAGAGACATTACATAATTATGAGATGTTCCCATGGATGGCATCAAGGTGATCACAGAGTCGGAAAACTTGTCACAGGAAAAAACATTAAAGGAATTGGATTTGTTCAGCTTAGACAAGTGAAAGGGTAGGAATGGGACCTGACCACTCTTCCAGTACCTACAAGGTAGTTACAGGGAAGATGGAAACACTCAGAGTGATACTCAGCAACAGGACAAGAGGCGATGGCAGACATTTGGTCTGAATATAAGTAAAAAAATCTCTTCTGTGAGTACAATGAAATATTAGAATAGGTTCTCTGGTAGAGGATAGCAACTTCCCTTGCTGGAAATATTCCAAGATTTGGCTTGACTAGACCCTGGATAACTGAATCTATGGCCCTGCTTTCCACAGAAGGCTGGACCAGACGATCTCCAGGGGTCTGTTCCAGCCACAGCTCTATTATTCTACGATAAACGTGATAAATGTGCTAGCCTATACCCACACATCTATTATTGTAGGGGAGTTTGGAGTACAGCAGTTAGACAGACTAAACTGCTGCAGCAGCAAAGTTCTGCATGTACAAGCAGGCAACAGACGCTGATTTTAACAGTGAATAAAGCAAGTACTTCAAGCAATCTCTTTTATCATGAGACATAAGCAAAATTTACCTTATAAAAATGTAGAGCTAGAGAGACTATCTTATTTTGGCTCAATTAGCCTCAGCAATATCAACTAACAAAACTAAAATTTGATGTTGTTGACACTGTGGTCTTTCCTGAATAGTCTCACCCTAATGAATCACCGGAATTAATCATCCCACCTTTGTCACTGCAGCAATGAAGCCTAACAGAGAAAAACAGATCAGTAAGTGCAGCAAAAAACAAGCAATTTTCAAACTAAGATACCACCGCATGAAAGAAAATGCTACCAATAATTCAGCTGAAATGATGTTCAGGAAGTTGTACCCTGAATCACTTCTGACCGGTGCAAATCAGTTTCTTATTCATTGAAACAGGCTAAAAAATTCTGAAGCTGTCTGGAGCTTTCTAGCAAAGCTTTCTCTCTAAAGGAATCAGATTTTCTTGAAAGTACTGCCAAATTTTTTTTTTCATTTTTTTCCCCCAAACCCAACTACTTCCTAATACTTTTCCCAAAAATCAGGAAAAATATATTACAGGAGATTAAATACTTTAAGAAGGTTGTATTTTAACATTTTTAAATATATGCTATCCAGCGTCAGAAAGCAGAGAATGCTTCAAAAAAAGAGTATAGGAAAAAGGCAAAGGTACAATAGCTGTTTTCCAGATGTAGCTTCCTGTCAGCAGCAAGTGGTGGTTAAGGGACTTCCTGAGATAGATCTTACATAAACACTTTTAGGTTTATGTCTGGGTGGTAATTTTTCTTTACAAGATTTCTTCTCTGAATTTGTCTGTTCGCTTTTTCTGCTATTCTTACAGAAACATTTTTTTTTTTAATTTTTAGTTTTGAAAGGTATTGTGGCAATTGAACTGCACTCTCTCTGAAAAAACAAGTTGTTTCATTTCTCAAAGTTTACCTTTTCGAGATAGGCACATTCTTATCTCTTTTGTTTACTTTGAGCTTCTGATCACTGACCCTAAGTTAATTTTTATGACCAGCTGTTTTATAGTATTTTCACTCACTTGCAAAGCCAAAACCCTTCCCTGACGACTGCATTCCCCTGCTGCTGACGACTGTCAGCTTCCACAGCCAGAAATAACGGGGTGTTAGTACCTTACTGGATGTTATTCTCGAATCGTAGATTTTAATACAAGCTGATTCCTGAGATTGTCAGTATGAAAGACAAATTAAGTATGAAATTTTTTGCAAAGCACATCATTCAGCTAAAAACCTTTAACAAAAGCAACAAACTGCACTTCACAGTACTACAAATCCAAGGAAAAGGCATTCCCACTTGGTCCAAGCAGAATGCCCACACAAAGGCAAACCCCATTTTTTTCTTCAATCCTTCCCAAAGAGCAAACACCTATTGTTATCCAAACAATTCAGATATCCTACAAATGTTCGGCACATCCAAACAAAAGTTCCCTGTCATCTATCAAATTGCAACAACTTTTCTTTTTCCCTGTAGACAAAAGTGACACAGGTCAAAGAAACATGGTAGCTTTGTCATATGTGATTTGGAATGAGCCATATACAAAAGCTTACAGGAACAGCTTACTTAGCTTTAAAAAGACAGATGCACTCAGCACTTAATCAGAAGGCTGGTCTGTGTAATAATACATTTCTTGTTCAGCAAAGAGGACAGAAAAGAAATAGTTTGTCTATTTTTGATTTTTCAAATATTTTTATTTATAACACAATTACCCGTAAGAGAACTTTACTGACATTGACTAAAAAAAACACAAGAGAAGTCTCTAATCTCCTTCATTGGGTAAAATTTTTAGGCACTTATTTAAGTGACCTAAAATCAATGGATCTTAACTATATGCTAAGGAGCTTAAAAGGCATTATGGATGCTTTATAAATATCATCCTAAATAAACAACCTCATCCCCAGGAAATCCTGTTTTTTCAAGAACCTTGTTGCTGCGGGGCATAACTGCAAGTTAGAAACCTTATTTTCCTACAAAAGCAAAGAATCTAAAAATATTACTTTTAAAATGAAAACTAGATACTCCAGCCAAGTAGTAATCTAGGCAGGGAATCACCTACCCAGCTCTACAAGGAGTTAGAAATTGGAGAAACCAATCAGCACAGGAAACAGCCACTTCAATATCCTGGCAAACACTCATGGCAAACCACTCCCTACATTCTTCCTGCTCCCACTACCCTTCCTTGAGCAGCTCTGTGTATCCTAGGCTGAAAAGGCACCTTGGAAAGGAAGGAGTATGAATCACATAGAACTTGAAAGGAAAGCTTAATAGGACTACTGATAAATCTGTCAAAAATAAATAGAATTATCACTTTTTGGTTCAATTTTCAGTATAAAACTGGTGCATTGGAAAAGCTTTGGACAACTTTAATCCCAAGAATCCAGACTATGCTACTAAATAGCACTGAAATGGCCACTCCAGTCCCTGTGTCCTCCTCTTTAGAAATAGAAATGAATAAGCTTTGAGTTAAAATAGAAAATAATGGTAACATAAAACCAGTAAATAATTAGAGGTGCTAATATTCCCTGAAGGAATCTCAGGTCATACAGTAAAGGTACAAGGAACTTAAAAAGCCCAAGGTGTACTGAATTGCTAGTGCAATATATTTAGATGTGGTTTTTTTTCTGACATCCACTTTTATGATGGAAATAATTTATTATTAGAATAGCAACTACTTGCTTTTTAACTTGAACAGAAATAGTTTGTTTTAATCCAGTGTCTTTAAACCTCTTCATTTGTCCTTTAGGTACTCAGTGTTCTCATGTTGGTTTCCTCCATCTCTTCAAAACCCAAAGATCTTTAAAACTGACAGATAAATTACAAAGAAACCCATTATTTCAATATGGTATAGCTTTCTGAAGATGGCTATGATATACAATGACTGAAATAACCATTTGGTTTGCTAAACTGTAATAAAAATGTATGATTTTATATTGGGAACTTTCACTTTTAATTTTGGTAATTTCTTTGCAAGATTCCCAGCAAGTTATAAACACATCTTAAATACATTCATTCATTGGACAAACCTTTTTTAAACCCAGAGGTGACAGCTGATAACTAAAAACATTCGACACACAGAAAGTTCTGTAACAGCAAATTATTAAAAAGGTTCTAGGAAAATAGTAAGAATTCACAGCAATCAAACGAGAAACAGGGTTTAGATTACCACGATGAGTGGGAAGAAACATTACAAAATGCTCTGGGGTTCAGCCAAATTATGAATCCTCAATCTGCATTAGACTGTTTCAAGAGCTTGCTTGAATTTGGACAATTTTATCTTCCTTTATTTCTGGGATCGACACGACCTGGGCAGTGCTGAGGAGCCCCGTGCGCTCCCCTGGGTGCCGCTGCCCGGAGCCGAGGCACGTCCAGCTGCGCTCCCCGAGTGCACCATGACGGGACAGGGACAGTCCGGCAGGAAGTGCCCCCCCGGCATTTCGGGGCCGAGTCCCGAGCAGTTCCGCACCCTCACTCCATCCGACACACCGGACCGGCGGTCTCCCGAATTCTGCCTGACCCCGGGCATTAGCGCTGCCTCCTGGCTGACACTCGGCCTCCCCCGCGCCCGGGTCCCGCTCCGGGGCGGGGGGGCTCAGCCGGCAGGGCCGAGGCTCGAAGCCCCTCCCGGCAGCGCCGCTGCTGCGGCGGCCCAGGGGCGGAGGCAGCTCGCCCGTCCAACCAGCGCCGGGCAGGTCGCCGCTGCCTTGCCTTCTCTCTCCCTTCCCCGGCCAGGACAAGCCGCCACAAAGAGCTGGGGTTCAAATGAGGCTGCTGCGGGCCGCGTGAGGGGACGGGCGGGAGCGCCGAGCGCCCCGCGGGAAGGTCCCGGTTCGGACGCGGGGCTCAGCCTGGGCGGCCGAGCCCACAACGGTCCTGAGCAAGGATAACAGAGAAAAAGAGAAGAACTGCGCCGCTTCCCCCAGGTACGTCCCGTCCGGCCCCAGCACGGACCGCGGGTCACCGAGGCGATCTCCCGGGGCCGGAGGGAGAGGCCCGAGGAGGCGGGGTAAGGACGGGCAGGGCCGGGGTGTTGAACGGGCGCGGCTCCGGGCAGTGCCCCGCGTACGGAGCCGGCAGCGAACAGCCTGGCAGAGACAGCGCCACTCCCTCGGAGCAGCAAGCCTGCTCTGTGCCTTTAAAAAACAAAAAAATACCCCCGAGCCAAACAAAAAAATCAGTCACGTATTAAAATAGAGTTGTAAAGAGAGTTGAGACATTACATGCCAGGCAGTGAAAGCCTTCTTGATATTATTTTCAGGATTATTATTATATTTTTAAAAAATATTATTTATTGATTTCTGTGTGTAACTCTGATCTTCACACTTCCTTAAAGTTGCTGTAAATGCATATGCCTTTCGAGAAATTTGCGAGGACATACTATAGGAAATTTTATTTAGTCTTTTTTTACACTCATGTCTGATCAGGGAGATATTAAAATTCCCGATACTTTCACAGATTCTATAAAATGAGTATTTGAAATATTTTGCAAATATTTAATTAAAAAGAAAGAGCCTAGCATTTATAAGTACATCTGTGTAAGCATTAAATAGTTATTAAATGATCTAACTGCTATTTTTCACGGGCAAAATGAGTCATTTATTAAAATGTGAATATTTTTAAGAGCTGTTATGGACAATGTTCATGCACATATATAAGCACACACAGTATGAGCACTTTCTGGTAGTGATTGGATTAAGTGAAAATAAGGTGAGGCCGCTGTTAAGGGAAGCAACAACAAAAGCAGTGCTCTCTTTCAGTAATTACATTCCACATCTATGACAGAACTTTAGTAAAGCACAAAGAACAATTCAAAAGTAGCATGACCAAAATTCTTGGTAATCCAGAAGAAAATTTTTACTTCTTATAAAAAGAGGCTTTTGCCAAACTTTTAAAAAAGTTACATGGCAGCAAAAGATCCATAACCTTCTGCAGTTTCTTGCAGCACTTGACAGTATTTCAAAACAAAAGTTCTCCAAGAGGTCATGAAGACACTCTCGTTATTAAGTGTTGCTTCAGTCATCCATTCCCCTCAGTGAGAAAACTATTTCCTTTTACAGGGCTGAACTAGTGCTTGAACCAAAATTTCACCAGTTTTAAGTGGACAGAAGAGCTGAGTAGTGACTGCATTATAATACAAGTATCTTAAATTTATAGGTTAATGTCAGTGTGGCACTGCTTATAATGGAAGCAAGTAACTAGTGGCAAAACCCCAGAAGTCATTCCCTCCATAAGTCTGGAGTTAAATTTTTCAATTTAGTTTTACATCATGTTTTTGTAACTAAAACTGCATGCTACTAGGTGTCAGTCCTTCCCTATATTTATTTTAAAACTTCAAACAAAACTTTAAGGTTTTTCCCAATACATGTGGCATACATATTACTGTGCTGTGTTTTCACTGTGAATTGCTCTTTCCTTTTACAAAAGCAAAAAGAAATCAGTATCCAGGTTTTTCACAGCAGTACTCTTCATCTAAAAATGGAACTACATGAGTTAATTCTAAAGGAAACCCTGTACCAGTGAAGTCCCTCTCCTTACAAAAGAGCAAAAATTAATAAATTGCATCAAGTATGAAGATTACCTTTGAGAGGTAAACTGAGAGGTAAAAACTGAAAGGATGGATTAATATAAATCCACGCAAGAAAATGTTTGGGAGAAGGAGTAAAAACAGCACATGAGCTCTGAGAAAAAGGCCAGGGAGTAAGAAAGCAAGCAGATGCAGAAAATTCATGCTTGTCTGTCTTATCACAATGGTGTTGTGAAATCCAGATCATATTACTGGCCTGGTGCCTGGAACATGCCAGCTAACTGTAAGTCTACAAACAGTGGCTATCAAAGGATTCTGCAGAAGCAAAAAACTAATGTTTGTTAACAAAAACCAAAACCAAACTGTCTGATCTTTTCATAGTAGGATTTTACATTTTCAACACCCTTGCTTCATTTGCTTTTATAATGCAATAAAAATGTAAAGCTAAAAAACCCTTTTAATATCAAAGACAAAACTATTAAACAGTGAAGATTTGTTGCTAGCTTTTCATGTTTCTTCTTTAGAATGCACAACTATCAAACTATGTGTGAATTCACAATCGCATACAGTAGTTTATCTTTTAGAGGATAAACGCTGCAATAGCTAACGCCGTGCCTTCCTTTACATATGTAAGTGCTTGAGGACTCTGCATAAAAAATGGCATATCAGATGTATGAAGGAAAAGCCAGACCATCCAGGTACTGGTAGTCTTGTTAAACTAAATCTGATCAGCACAAAACAGCCAATTAACCCCCAGAGCTGATTTTGTAAGAGTCGTTTTGTGTAGCTGAATGAACTCATCTGTATGGAGGGTATCATTGCTGCTTTTTAATTCATAGTCAAAACAACAATATCAGAAAACAGGAGTGTAGTGCAAAAGTGTGTGTGTGTCATCCTTCTTATGAATATGTTTTTTGTTTATCTATGTATTTCTAAAAGGCTTTGATATTGTTAGTTTAATTACTGTGCATTCAATTCTGGCACATTGGACCTGCGCACACTTAACGACCCAGCTTCTAGACTATGAGCTCTTCCTGAGTTAGAGAAATTTGCAGAGATTGGAACAAATGCTAAGCGTTGGACCTTGCCTGTCCACTCTTTAATGAAATAAAAATCACCTATTACAAGAAAAAGACACGTAAATAAAACCCTATACAAAAAATTAGAAGGAAATAATTAAAAAAAAATCCCCAAAATTCTGAACTTAACTTTTCTAAGGGATGTAATACTCTGGGAGCCTTTTTATGGAGGCTGAGGGCTGAGTGACAGTGACTGTAAAACCAACAGTTATCTCAAAGATACAATGACTTAAATGGAGAATTCTATTTTATTTGACAGCTTACTGAGCACTCCTGCTTAAGCGTAGGAAGTCACATAGGAAACCTACTCCTTCACCTTGTTTACAATAATTATCCTTAATTCCTCAGCTGTGACATACAAGCCACTAAAAATCTATCTTAACTTGTTAACGTGAGAATTGCTGCTGTCTTCATCATATACCAGGTTCTGATGAATCAGCTGAGGATCAGCTCCTCAAACCAAACTGGTAGTGTTTTTGCTTATCTTAAACTCAACTATACTGCAATCCAAATGGCTGTTGAAGTCTCTAGAAATGCTTGTGTAACATCACAGTTTTAGCTCAGAAAATCTCCTTCTCTGTAAAGCAGCCCCCAGGGCTAGACAGTGTCAGATCCCACATGTTCAAAAGCTGCCTTTCCACGAATCAGCATCATGCTGTCACACCTATGGCTCTCTGGCTTTGTAGCAGTTTACTATCTATAGAAAAACAAGAGCAGCAGCAAGAAGCAATTCTACTGCTTTTACCTACTGAGATCTATTATGTTGCTTATCTGCAGGAATAACATAATAATGCAATTTAAGATACAAAACTTCTATCGTGGTACAAAATCCAGGCAATTATTTTACATTTTTGTCTTACGTAAGGTTTTCCACACAAGATTCACAGAGGTCATTATTTTGCTTTTGTATTTCTCCAAAATGCTATAGTACAGATGATGTCTTCTTAAACATCAAAACATTTCCTCCTTGAACTGATTTGTAATCCAGAGTAACACATAACAAAGTTCAGTGCTCAGCCACCACCCAGCAGTCTTCCTACCGCTTCAGCTCTACATTTTGGAGGACATGGAAAAGCACAGGTGAAAAAAGGTACAAACTCCTAGACACAAAATGTCAGTCTCTCAATGGTTGAAAGACTCAGCACTGCAAAACCACTTGAGATCGAGATGCAGATGTTGACAGTATATACTCAGGCTTTCATAAATACATTTCTTTCTAGAGTAAGAATGCAAGTGTCTATTTTATGAACAAATTTCATCCAACGAAAAACAGCCACAGCATTGAAATGCTACTGGCAGCATTTTTAGATAAGCTTAATGATTCTTGGATTATGTTATTACAAGTCCTATTTTTCATCTGATGCAGACAGACCTTCAATTGCACTCAAAAATCCCACAGGTAAAGTGAGAGACAGTTAACCAGTCTCTTTTGTAAAAATGAGATCCTCTGAAGCATGGCATCAGAATCAACAACTAATGAAAAAAGGTATACAGTTTGGAATATCCACAATGACATGTATTTTGTAGCTGCAAACCAAAAAGGCCATCATACTGACACTGCTCCTTTTGATGCTTCCTCTTAAGGCAACCTGGTTAAAAAATAAAAGTGAACGTTTGCCAGACAGTAATATTTTTCCATGTAGAAATATTTTTACCGTTAGCATTTCAGGATCATGATAGTGATTAAAAAATAGATTGTGAAACACCTGTATAATTTCAGATTTTAAAATTCTCGAATTTTGTTGAAACGTAAGAAAAATGTCAAGATATTTGTAACAATCAAACGGTAACACATTTTGACTAATCAAGAGTCCCATATAAGCAAGATAGAGTACAGTACAGAAGAATGTTCCAAAGCAAAGCCAAAATAAGATTTTATTTATTTTTTCCCTTTAAAGGGCAGGAAAAAACAATCAAATGCTGAAACATCTGATATCCCTTTCAGAAAGTTTATTTCCTCTTTTTTCACCACATCATGGAAACATCCTCAGTTGAGTAAACAACGAATGAGCAAATCAAACAATTTCTTATTACCTACTGCCAGTTCTATACACAGATAGGCCAATATTTGGGATACGAGCCAAAATTCTAACCGAAGTGCTTGTGCTGGCTCGAGTATAAAACTGCTGTGATTATGTGCCACACAATAATGCTGCCAAGTGTTTTCATACAGATGCAGTTATGCTGGCAAAAGACAAACAGAAAAAAACCCTATATTGCCTGAATAAAAAGTAAAATATACTGCCAAGTAGAGTAAACATACACAAAACTGGGTTTTGGTGCATCTGCACCAGGGCAAGTTTGTCCCAACTCAATTCTCATCAAAAGTGTTTTTATGAGTACACAAGTCTTGAACAGCCAGAATCTAGAAATGAAATTACTTCAAACTTCCATACTTGTTCTGATTAGAAGTTCCATTTGATGTTTAATTAAAATAAAACATCTTTCTTTTTAAGTGTGCCTTTTTCACCTGGTTTTTGTTTACATGCTTGTGTGTTAATGTTCTGTCAGTACACATGAGGATAAGGGACTGTATTTCCAGTAATTAAAAAAATTTGTTGCAAACCTGCATGCTTGCTTTAGGTTGAAAAGTGTACAACTGCCTAAGTGGAATTTTGCATGGGGGACAAATATGGCATTAGGAATATAGCTCCCTCCCAGTCCACTGAAAAAGAGCTACTGGCAGAGGGAGAGAGGAAGCGGGGGCTAAGCCAGAGAAACAGGAAGAACTGAGTGACCAGCAATGGCACTAGTCAGGTATAAAGAGTATCAATTCCTGGGCATAAGTACAACACGGCAAAACTGAAAGCTAATGTCCTAGACATCAGATATGATCTTCTTCTTACATGGGAAGGAGTCCTAATGTTCTAAGAATCTGATGTTTTGCTACTCAAAAAGAGGAAGATACTAAAAAGAATTAAATCCTTCCTTAAAACTGTTTCACTGACTTCTCACTTCCTTGACTCCACGAACTTCCGTTTTAATCCAGCTTCAGAACGGAAAAAATGTCCTTTACTTATGTGATCCTTCACAATATGCAACAAATAGGCCTCATTCTAAACACCTTTTTTTTAACCAAACAAGTAGACAATAAAAGACTTAAGAATATCATAATAAAGAGACTGCAGGAAGGACATCTGATGGTTGTTTCTGTTTGTACTGGGGTATTCTCCTATCAGTGTCCTTGTTCTTCCACTGTTTTTTTCATATAGGAAGAATATCTTAGAAAAGGTGACATGCAGGCAAGACTGTGACAGAGAAGCATTTCAGCACAGTGTAATCGTGCTGATGTCATTCACTGTGTCTTGCCTTCTGCGACCGGTGATCAAACCCTAGAACAGGCTTCCTGGAGAGGGGGTCAGTGCCCCAGGTCAGCTCTGATGCCAGGTGGTGGGACTAGATGATTGTTAAGATGATATGTTAAGACGAGACTGATGAACTCTGTTCCATTATTTTCTTACACAGTTCTTAAAAAAATGGAGAAAAATCCATTATATGATGCTCTATATTTCTTTGGCCAGAAAAGAATGTGCACCCCAAAGCCCATGCTCAGTTAAAGACATGAGGCGCTGTAATAAAGACAGAAGTGAATGCTGAGGAAAAAATCAGTTTCTTTTCAGTGGTCACAATAATTGCAGGTTTAGAGGAGGGGAAAAAAGGGTATTACAATTCCAGCAGTGAAATAAAACCATTTTATACCTATATGCAAGAGACATTTGCAAAACCAGTCATCTGTGCAGAAACATGAGGCCTGGAAAACTGCCAGGTTTTCCAAGTGTGACCTGCTGTGCAAATGCTGATTATGCAAGTTAAAGCTGTCTGGGGTGAATTTATGTTCCCTATTTTCCAGGACTCCAAATAGCATTCCTGTGCTTACAGAAACCACGTCAAACTCCAAATTTTCATCTAACATGTTTTCAAGATTCTTGACAAGTTCTGTAAAGCACCATTCCTTTCTATTTGCAAATGAAAAAGGGTTTATTCCAACTAAGAAACTGAGGCAAAAGTATATATAAAAAAATTATAAGAAAGATCAAGTCCTGGTCACTTTTGTTTGAATCTTTTAGAGAAATATCTATGGTTTATTTCACAAAACCAGAAAAATGTGAACGACAACTCAGTACTCTTCTCAGTAGGAATAATTAAGGATGCATATCCATCATTATCTTGAAACTTAAAAAAAAAAATCTCTTGGAAGTCAGCTGCTGCCTAGAATCATAGAACAGTTTAGACTGGATGGGACCTCATCCTCATCTCACAAAGCAAGGCAAGTTTTAACATTAGATCAGACTGCTCAGAGCCTTGCCTAAGTCACAACTTCACAGATTTCCAAAAGTGGAGATTCTGCCACCTCTTTGGGTAACTGCTTCAGTCCTCAGACATCCTCATGGTGAAGTTCTTTTTTTTAATAAAACTCATTTTTTTCCTGAGGTTATTTGTATCCACCGTATACTTTCACTGTGCACTTCGAAAAAAAAATCTGTCTTCTCTACAAACACCCATTAAGTGGTTGAAGACAGCAGTAAAACGTCTCCTTCACCTTCTCTTCTGGAGGCTGTGCAGACCTCACGCTTCCTGCTGCTCTTCATACATCACGTCTGCAGCCTTCAGCTGCCCATGCTACCCATGCTGGTTGTGCTCAGCTGGACTCACTCCAGTTTCTCACAGCTGTCACTATCACCATTTCATGTAACTCAAAAAATTTCATTGTATAAAGATGACCAAGCAGTTAGGAGAAAGATACTCAAATACTGAATGATTATTCCATGTGAAATGTTTTACAGGCAAAGAAAAACATGATGGTTACACCATCTTGGTTTTAAAAAGTGTCAAACAGGTTTTATGTGCTGAAAAAGCTCCATATTACATTTTTCCCTCATTTATTTTATGAAAACTAGGTTACATATACATGATTATTAAAATTCAACAATAAAAAGCTTTTAGAAATATATGACGTCAAAGTGCTGTCCAAGTGGCTGATAAGAGGAGCGGTATGTGACAGGGGTGCTCCTGGCAGCAGTGACAATCCTAAGCCCATGTTTCCAGGCCTACCAGTGCCTATAAAGTTCTGGGACTGACTTATTTTTTAAGAGATTGTGAAGGCCTCAGCTTTCCACCTTGAATAGGAATCCGCATGGAGAACTAAGTTCAGGTAATGTCACCAAAAGGGAACTGGTGCACTGTGCCAAATGATATTTCCAGCTGATTTGGATTGCTGTGCACCATCTCTGTCCACCAAGCACATATGCAGGTATTCTTCCCCTTCCAAGAAGGGTCTGTGAAGTGAGATGACCAGGCTGAGTGTAAAGACAGTGTCTCCACTGAGAGTCACAATAACTGTTTCAGTTGTAAATTCCACTAGTCTGGAAAAATAACAGATTGTACTGCCTATGATATCAGAGTTTTTAATTTATAATTATTAAGGACTAATGTAAAGTTTTTCTTTTTTTTTTTAAGCCATGGAATTTCAATACTGCTGAATAAAGTAAAATTGTTACACTTCATCTAAGCTGTATCTCTTGCAATATACATGCAGTTATAAAATACTGCAAATGAGATATTTGATATTTTTAGAACTTTTATCAGCATTAATACACATATTAACTTACATTCTGTTTACATTTGTAACTGTAAGAAACTGAAAATGTAATTCATATGTAAATGAAAACACCAGTCTTGGAAACTTTTGTGGTACTTGCCTGGAAGAAAGGCCAGTTCAAATCCTAGTATTTATTGCTTAGTTTCTTATGGTTCTTGGCAGGCTTTAGATGAACTAGCAACTAGTAATTGCAGTTTTGAGCATAGAATGATACAACTATTCCCTATGATGTCCACTTTAACCAATGTAAATTCAGGCTGGACAAGAAAAATACCTCATTTGTGTACATAGTTAATAGGTACTGCTTTAGAAGAGATTATCACTTGTAAATCCACATTGATTTCCTATTTGTTATTTACTATTAAATTTATTTTAAAACAGATTTTAACAAGTTCTTTGCAGAAGAATATTTGACCAGAACTAGAGGATCATGATGACAAGATTCATCTGTTTAATGCTAGTAACTGCTGTGGGAGTTACTACAAGTAAAGCACAGGAATTTGAAGGCAATGACAAGGAAACAGATCAAGAATTCATTTACATGAACAGATATAAGCGTTCCAGTGATACGCAGGACAAATGCACTTACACCTTTATCGTACCTCAGCAGAGAGTGACAGGTGCCATTTGTGTTAACTCTAAGGAGCCTGAAGTTCTACTTGAAAACAGGGTAAATAAACAAGAATTACAGTTACTTAACAATGAACTACTTAAACAAAAGAGACAAATAGAAACTCTCCAGCAACTGGTAGAGGTGGACGGTGGAATTGTTAATGAAGTTAAACTCTTAAGAAAAGAGAGCAGAAACATGAATTCTCGTGTCACACAACTCTACATGCAGCTACTACATGAAATTATCCGAAAACGTGATAACGCCTTAGAACTTTCTCAACTTGAAAATAAGATTTTGAACCAAACTGCAGATATGTTGCAGCTTGCAAGCAAATACAAAGACTTAGAGCACAAGTACCAACATCTGATGTCAATTGCCAATAATCAGTCAATGATAATTGCCCAGCTGGAAGAACACTGTCAAAGAATGCCATCCATAAAGCCACTGCCACAAACTCCACAACCACCACATAAAGTGTATCAGCCTCCTACTTACAATCGCATTAATAACCAGATATCTACTAATGAGATTCAGAGTGATCAGAACTTAAAGGTTCTGCCACCTACCTTACCAACCATGCCTGCAGTTACTAGTATTCCAACTTCAACTGATAAACCATCTGGTAAGTAATATTACTAACATGGCTTCATTAGTTTATGCTAATATGCAGTGGCAAACATTTTAACTGTAATATCAAAAATGCAGTCAGAATTTGTTTAGCAAAATAAATGCAATTAATTATTTTGAACTGAGATTTCTTAGATCTGATGTTGTCTGTAATTATCTTCTGGATATCTTGTAGTATGTACAACCACAGAAAGAAAGCAAAAAAATTAACTCTAAGATTCAGACACGCTAGCCCCACAGATTTTTCTCCTGTTACTTTGCCAAGACAAACTGACCATTTATGTTACATGTATGAGATAAAGGACCTGCAGAAAAATCTTATTATTCAACAGTCATCTAAATTTTATTTAACTTTGCTCAAAACTGAACTACTACAATTCGCGACATCTGAAGGGGTTTAGCACTGTTTGTGTGAACATTTGTGAAGTTATTACAAGTTTGCTGATCTATGTAATAATGTTGTGCTTGTGTAACTCCAAAAGGAATCCATCTCTCTCTATACCTTACATGGGGCACTTGTGCCCTACACAGGAACAAAAGGGAAGCAAGTGGTGGAATAGTAAGAGATATTATACAGCCCTCACTGAAAGGCTTAGGAGTTCTGTCACAAGCAAGATTAGAAGATCTGAAATCACATTAAAGATCAATTGATCTACATGGTAACAAAATTAACAAGTAAAGAATTCAATTTCACCTATGGTCCCTCAGATTTAAAAAAACCCCCACAAACAGTTCAGATATATGTTCCATATAAGGGAAGTCTGTTCTTCAGTGTGCGGGCAACACAGACTTGCACAGACAGAAAAAAGATGGGGCGTCACAGACATCTGAACTCAGAGCTGAAACAGAGTAATGCATGGGAACTGCACTCAGTGTATTTCATGGCTATTTACAACAAACAAGACATCAACAAACTCTTTAGAATTATCAAATAATGCAACTGTCACACCTTAAAAAAAACCCTCCGAAAGACCCCCATCTTATTTCTCCAAGGAAACATTCACAATTAAAGAAACTTGAGCAGGTGTTTCAGTCCAAAGCACTGAGTCTCCAAAGTCTGTAAAGTCTCTAAAACACTCTGCTACAAAGCAGTATTTTCACAGTATTGCCAAAGATGAACTCACCAAAGCTTGCATTCTGGCATGCAGAACCTCTGCCAAAAATATCATGATTCTAATGTACTGTGTAAGAATAAAAGTTCTCAGAAGAAAATCAGATCTATTACAACTCCTTTGCAGCAATACACTATGGCCTCTTTATTAGTTACATTTTGACTTTCATCTCAAAGTTGGTTCAAGCTTTGTACAGTATTTCCCTATCTATCTGTAAGGGAAATACCTTTCAAGCATTCTTTGAAGACCTTTCCCTTTCCTGTTACATGGTTTGAAAACTCATTCTTGCTCCACATCCTCCTTGCGCTTTCAAGTGCTTAAACTGGAGCTGAGGCTTCACTATCACACAGCAGGAATAGAAAAGTTAATTCAAGTGCACAGTATATTTGCTTATCTATCCTCATATATTTCCTGTTTTGAAAAGTCAAATGCTAACATAAATCAATTTGCAACCCTGTAGATCTCCCAGATCCTCACCTGAGAAAGTGCTGCTTATCCAGCCATTTTTCGTGTTGATTTCCAGAGGTCCCTTTCGCAGTGCACAATTCTAAGATAAGATCTGACATCTGCTACTTCTCCTTAGACTACATAACTTACTAGGAAAGAAGTTTCACGCTTCTTCTGCACAAATTCATTATAATATTAATTTCTCCCCTTATTTTCTCACTTACAGTTTTGATTTGTTTAAGGAAGTTTCCAACAATTGAAGTTAAGCTAATTAACCTATCATTTTCAGGGTATCTTCCTCCCCTCACCTCCCCTTTCTTTTTGGGCATGAAACATTTGATATCTTTTCCTCATCCTCCAGAATGTTCTCCATTCACAAAGCACATCTCAAACAAAACTCTCCCTACAATTAATGCTGAGAACGAAGCTTTAGTCATACCTGGAATAAACTAGGAAAAACCCATAAGCAGTATCCTACAAAACAAACAAAACCCACCACCACCACTGCCCAGCTGCTGTTAAAAAATCCATGCATATTTTATCCAGTCCTTTCAGTACTATTTCTTGAGTTCTCAGCCTTTACCAAAGCTCCTGACTGCACTAACCATCTGATCACAGCCAACCTGTGGAATGAAAACTGAAGCAAAACAGAAGGAAAATATTAAATGCTTTCTTCTAATCTGTTGACAGCTTTCCTTTCTCACAAAGTAGTAGACCAACACTCTCCCTTGATCACAGACTACTACAGTCTTAGTAGTAGTCTGTAGTAGCTACTGTCAGTAGCTTTAATTAATTTTGTACATTTTGTCCACATTGTCTGTTACATGGTGTCCCTGCCCATGGCAGGAAAGTGGAACAAGATGATCTTTAAGATCCCTTCCAACCCAAGCCTTTCTGTGATTCTGACTCCCTAGAGGTGATTTTATCAAAACTACCTACCTGAAAGTCAGGGTGTTCACACTTTTTCAAGGGAACATACCTTAGCCAACATTTTGAAAAGTTAATATCTGACAAAAAAAACACCGGTCATGGAAAAGTAGTAGCAAACTCTGCTTTGAAGTACTTATCTTCATCTTAAATCACTTTCAAGAGGAAAGAACTATGTGTAGTAGAGCACTGCTGCCATGTGGCCTAAAAGAAACTGCAAGATTAGAACACTCTAAATACTACATTGTATACTGCTATAAATTTTTATGAAGATCAAAGCTCTATGGTTGACTATTTAAGGAGTTCAATAATGATTTTGGACTAATATGTTCTTTTTTGTTTTTAATAAGTGCCACTACATACACATTGTGATTAAATAAACATGAGCAATATAAATTACCAGTGCCCTTTACATTTGTTTTCTCCCACCTCTCATAACGAGCCATGTAACTGTGTGACAGAGCACTGCATCTACACGTAAACTGCCAGAAATCTGAACAGTGAGCCACAACAGAGATGGAAAAGGGACTTAGAAGCACAACTCCAGGTACAGTCTCTGAATATGACTAGGGTAACAAGAATACAGCATGGCCACAGAACAAACACTTGGATTGCCTCTTGGTACACTGACTTACTGATTAAAATAGTTAAAAAGGCAAAAAAAACCTCAATCCCCCAAACACTTGAGATAATTTCTGTAAAACTAATTTATTTCTAACTCATTTCCTCAGTACCATTACTAGTGTTGGGCAGTGAATTATGAAAAAGCGTAGAAGAACTGAAATAATTTAGAACAGAAATTACTCGATAGCAACATGTGCTTCAGTAAGACTCCTAATGAGAAGATCTGACAAGCCTTCCTCTTTCAGCAGGCAGGGGGAATCAATCCAGAGTCTCTGATCTCAAATCCTGAGGATTCTTATTGACTTCACCCTTATGCTCAGGAAGCAAAGCAGCTGGGGGAGTCTATATGCAGATATCAACAGACTCCTAAATCATTTATACTTAAATTTCTCAGACTCATTAAAATGGAATCTATCTTCCCAATGCAGAAAATTTCTTTTAAAATCATAAACATAAAATACTGTCAAAAAGAGTAAGCTCTTCGTGGACTCTACTGAACTCAAGGAAAAAATATATTCTTCTGAAAACACAAACGCATTAACTGTAATTTCTGTGAATGCAAAGTATTTTAAAAATCTTGTCATTTATATAACATTTCTCTCACAAGCACTCCATGTTAAAAAAAAATCTTAATTTCTATATTGTGTTGTCATTTATTAAGGTTACAACAGTAAAACCTACAATCTGAATTCATGTTGCCAGTTCCATTGTTAATGTGCGAATAACATTTCTGGGGATCTAAAAAGCTGAATTTCTCAAAGACAGAATCAAGATCAAACTTACTGTTTTGTTTTCTAAAGGAAATTCTTAATACATGTCTGTGGAGTCATTTAGACCTAGTTTCTTTGAAGATGTAATCAATGACTAAAGTAGAGCTGCCTTAAAAAAAATAAATTTTAAAAAAATCTACCTTTATCAGTAATTTATTGTGGAATGTTCCAGAAATAAAATTACAATAAATGAATCCACTTGAAAACACTTGGTGGATACTGTACCTTCAATAAGAAGAAAAACAAATGCACTATTCAGTGAAACTAATCTACTGTATAAAGCTGCCTATTCAAATACTGCCCTGCACTGAAGATATGGTCAAGGGGAGTTTGATGCACAGCCCTTCTGTTTTGACACAGGGCCCTGGAGAGACTGTCTACAAGCATTAGAAGACGGCCATGACACAAGCTCTATCTATCTTGTGAAACCAGAGAACACAAACCAGCTGATGCAGGTCTGGTGTGACCAACGGCATGACCCTGGGGGCTGGACAGTCATTCAAAGACGGCTGGATGGCTCTGTCAACTTTTTCAGGAACTGGGAGACATACAAGGTTAGAACAAGTGAGCAGATTAATGTCTTCCACCCTCTAAAAATTATTGGTAAAGTGGACGTCTCTATAAAATAAATTACTGCAGATTTCTATTTAAGAATACGCTCAGATTTACCACTAACACAGATGCAGAATACTAACATGCTTCTCTTGCTTCCTTTACAGCAAGGATTTGGTAATATAGATGGAGAATATTGGCTCGGATTAGAAAACATTTATTGGTTAACAAATCAAGGCAACTACAAACTGCTCATAACAATGGAGGACTGGTCAGGTCGGAAGGTGTTTGCTGAGTATGCCAGCTTCAGGCTGGAGCCTGAGAGTGAGTACTACAAGCTGAGGCTGGGCCGTTACAACGGCAACGCAGGCGATTCCTTCACTTGGCACAATGGCAAACAGTTCACCACGCTGGACAGGGACCATGACGTGTACACAGGTACTGGAGCCCTGAGCCGCCTTGCCTTTTTTTTGCCCTCCCCCCCCACCCCCCATTTTATTTCCTTTTTTTTTTGAAAAAGGAAAAATACTTATAGTCATACACACACACATAATTTGCACTCTTAAAAGGATTTGTCAATTTTACCTTATGAAGCACAGACTGATAGTGTCAACCCTTATAAATAATAACACCAAAACAAAAATTTGTTTACACTAGACAAGAGTCTGTAAAATATGTTATGGAGGGTTATTTGGGATAGTACTGCACACAAATCTTCCAGCAAGGGAGAATACCAATAATGAACTCCATCTGTAGAACGTAACTACTGAGCTGCTTCCTGAAGCAGCCTAAATTCACCTTTTATTACATGGTATCTACATATTAAACATACAGTTAAAAAAGAAAGTTTTGTGCTTAGCTTGCTTGCTGTAATATTTTTCATTTAATTCTGACACTGAGCTGGAACTTTCTTTTGCAGGTAACTGTGCCCATTACCAGAAGGGAGGATGGTGGTACAATGCATGTGCTCATTCCAATCTCAATGGAGTCTGGTACCGGGGAGGGCACTACCGCAGCCGATACCAGGATGGCGTTTACTGGGCTGAATTCCGGGGGGGGTCGTACTCACTAAAGAAAGTTGTTATGATGATAAGACCTAACCCTAACACATTTCACTGAAATAACTCTTCTCTTGGTTTGCTTTCTTGTTCTAAAAACATCACATAAAGATATAGTACCTGGAATGATCTTTTCAGAAATGAGGAATGTAAGATATTGTACATTTATTGATAAGATATGAGGGCTTGTATATTGTATTTTCAAGAATAATCCCAGGGAAAAAAAAGCTGAAGAAAAAAAAAAGGAATTGCCATAACATTCAGAACACCAGTACAACTGGTACTATTAGAACTGGCAGTTAGATGAAGTGTAGATAAGCTTCCTGGTTTTTATTCCCTGTAAATTAATTTTGGATGGTAAAAATACTGCCACAACATTTAAATATTTTTGTATGTTATGTATAAATATTCTCAAATACAGGAAATATTACAAACTGTACAGCAAGAGTTTTTTTATTATTATTATTATGAGCAATCATTTGACACAGGAAATCATATCCTTTGAACTGTGTAGCTGGTATATGTACATTAGTGTGATTATTATGGTGTAATCTTTGTTAACTGCCATGAATAAAGTCAGTACTATATAATTCTGTTTTGAGAGCAGACAGCCAAACCAGTACTGTCATGATAAATCCAGTCTTTCCCCTTCACTTTGATCATTTCAATAATCTGCTCCTACAAAGTGGAATTCACCACTGATTCAAGTCGTTTAGATTAAAAACACTAATGATTTTTCCTACCAAAATGAAGTAGCTACTTGCATATGGAAATTAATCCAGATTTACAAGTATTATGTGCTATATAGCCAACATGTTATACACAACTCACAGTATTTCGTACCTGACTTCAGTCATTACCTGTTGTGTAGCCTCTGTACTCAGAAATGGCTAGATATAAATTAAAGGGACTATCCAACTTTGCAGGCAAATGATGGATACCAGTTTATAATCTATTTAGTATCCTTAGCCTAGAGATGAAAATTATATAAAAAAAAGTTATCTGTAGCCAAGAGAAGTTATTTTTAACATATTTCACAAATATAACATATTACTGTCAAATTATTAAATAGATTTACTCATCTATATTTAGAGGCAGTCACACTTAAGAAATACATACTGGGATAATTCTAACATTCTTCTGAGGTAGGTTTCTAGAACAGATAGTTAACACACCCAGTTCAAAACAGCAACTACTGCAAAAAAAGTTAAAGAATGTATAAAAGAGGCAGAGTAAAAGCCTCTAGAAGTTCAATATTTTTCACTAAGCCTGTAAAACACTTACTGTGTGTTTATGTGTGTGTGCTTGCATACTTTTCCCTCATTACCTCCTCCCTTCTTTACCACAGTATGATGTGCGATGTAGCATGTGTTGTATATAACTGAAAGTAGGTTTTTTAATATATTAGATTACCCGTCATATTGTAATTCTTTAATAAAGCAACAGATGTTATTTTGACATGTTCAGATTTCATCCTGTTTCAGTTCAGATCACTGCCTCGTGACTTAAATCAGCCCTGATATACAACTACTATTCATGTGTGTTAAGTGTTTAAATATTGCAACATCAAAAGCAAAACAATTTTCAGCTGAGAAAAATACAGAATTTCCACATAGCCCAACAAGGAAGGACTCTTTGTAGGTCATCTGAAAAGCCCTAAATTGTCCAACAGTATTCAAGGTTTACCTGCTACTGGTTTAGCTACTGAACTCTGGAAAAGATTTAGGTAAGAACTATTAAACACACCTACGGGCCTAGAGCTGGCCAGAGTGCTCTACCAAACAGGCTTTAAACCCCTGTCCAAGATGACAGACTTTTGTTAAAATAATCATATTTCTTAACCTTTCTACCTAAAAGGTGAGTGATTTACCTAGAGACTCGTCCATGTAATTAAAAACGATAATGCACAGAAGTCAGGTTACGAAGACCTGGAGATATGTCTGAGAACAGAACTTAATTTTTTACATAAAATTTGCATAAAATAATTTTAAACACAGAGGCTGGCACATCAAAAACAATTAAACATAGGGAATTTGGAACTTATACAGTGAAGTTATTGGCAAGTATATTGGCAGAATCACAGATTTGCAAAATTTCATTATGCTTATTTTTTTTAAATTCACACAACAGAACTGTCTGCACTAGATCCCTCTACTATAGCAATGCCACAACTATAAACTATGAAAGGCCTTAGTTTTTCCTGTTCCCCTCATTTTCTCCAATTGTTTCAATTACATTCTTATTTCATCACTCCCCAAAAGTATATCTCTGACAACACCGTGCTGTCTAAAAATCATATACAATACACTTACACACCTATCATTAGTAAAAGGTGAGTTTACATAGGAGAGAACTGCAGCACTATGGAGAGTAACAGCTTCGATTCTCCTGTAATCCTCCTTAATTTCAAGAAGTACCATAGAAATAGTTCTGCAACAGTAAACTCCTAGAAACTTAGGTTGCTCTTCAGAATTTCTGAAATATCTCTACCTTTTTCAGAAGAGTAAAGAAAATTCTGTCAACTAATACATTATCTATGTATCAGGAATGAAACAGTGGGGATCCACCCACAGCACTGAAGACAAAAAGCTCTCTCACAAGATTGAAGTTACTTCAGAAGGCAACCAGTCATTCTCTTGTATACATATTTCCTAACAGTTCTTTCCTGAAACTCTTCTATTATCATTCAGAATTTTCAGCATTAGCCCCATCGTTATATTCCAAGGAAAAAAAAAAAGCAAACAACACAACAAAACACCATAACTCAGTGAACCCTGTAGATTATAACAGATGATACCCATCTTTGTTTATCCCGTAACATACAGATACAACCTGAAAGATCACCAGCAGTGAAGACAGGAAAAAGCTGTAGGCAGCCACCACACACAGGAATTTTCAAAACACTGCGACTGCTATTTTTTTCTTAGATCACACTGTGGCTAAATGCTTCCAACAGTTCACATTACAGCCTTGCCAATCTCATGATTGATTGATTTCTTTCTTTCTCTCTTTAAACTTGGAAGACCTGTCTGGAAACAAAACAACTGTTGGATGTTTTAATGGTACTTTAAAACATCGTAAGGAATATATTAGTCTCTCATATTACAACCTGAGGTTGTAAACATACCAGTAATTGTCTCCTGTATTGATTACATGAAGGTTCAACTGCACCTCTTAGGATGCAGGGAAAACCTTACTTTACAAGAGCAGCAACACTGCTTAGTCTTTCCAATCAGCAGGGAGAGGGCCTCTGATGCACGAAACCCAAAATACAACATATGCAGCAGGATTCAAAGTCTCCAGGAGGCTGCCTAGACACCAGCAGGAATTTCAGCTTCAACCTTGTAATTCAGTAACATGGATTTTTTTCTTTCACTTTCATTACCCAGGTCTTTTATTAGGCTTGTAACACTCATTCATTCCAGATATGTTTAAATTTTTATTTAGGACTGGCTTGATGTCCTAATAACTGGGTAGTATTAAAACATTCCTTGCACAAGGGGATGAGCCAATTCTATAAAAGAGAGTACCTAGACAACTTCAATGGATGTTTCGCTTCCCAGTACGTTCTCCAGCTCATTTCAAACAATCTCAGGCTGCCATAGACGGAATGAGAACATAACTAAGTAACTTTCTTGCATTGAGACAAGAGGCTCAGCATGAAATGTGACCCCCATTAACTGTACATCCTCAGACTTTGTCACTCTCATTCACTTGTTTTATATTCACTATTTACACGATCTATCAGTCTACTTGTTCATTTAAACAGACTAAAGAAGCTGTTCCATACGTAATGCTGCTTTCCTCAAGAAGATACTTACTCACTGAAACTAGTCCCCTTTGAATATTCTGATAAGCTAAATAGTCCTTTAACCTAAAATTATTTTCTAAGAAGTTTCAATAACTCATACCAAGTTCTCAACACTTTTTTTAAGTATGGCCACCAGGGATGGCCAAATTTATTAAATAAGAAATATTTTAGATAAGCATCTGCAGCAATTTGTGCTGGGACTCATGCTGCTCAACATATTTGCAAGTGACCTGAAAACGAGAGTGAACAATGGAACAAAAATCTGCTGATAATATTAACTAATTCAGGGGAGCAAAGAGAAGGTCTGACTGAGAGGAACTGCAGAAAGATTTATGAAATAAGCTGCCTGGACAGTAAAACAGAAAATGAAAGATCTACAGACAGCGTTAGATACAAGGGGGGAAAAAGTCTTAACTTTCCACATAAAATAAAAAGGGCAAACCACCGCTAATAAAGGCATAATCTTGGGATTTCAGTAAACAGTTCCTGATGGCTACTAAACATCGACCTAACAGAATGTTAGGGATTATTAAGCAGAGCACAAAAAGCTTTCTGAAGTAACAGTATAAATCTAACCCATGTTTCTACCTTGCATTTTGCAGGCAGTCCATGTGCACTCTCTCCCACTAAAAAAAGGATCCAGGACTGAAACACTGCCTTGGCAGGTTGTCAAGGATGCCAACTGGCATCTGTACAAGGGATGCTCAAGTAATCCAAGGACTCCTCCTTTTGGAAGAGAGCTAACTGAAGATTTAGTGGGAAGGCAACAGAGATAATGACTGAAGTCCATCATGTCAGGAGTAGCTTCAAGTTGCACAAGAAACAAGGTAGGGTTTATCTAGTGAAGGTAGAAAATACCATGTTCAATTCAAGCAAAGAATGTGGTACTGGACAGAGCTGAGGAAATCCTGCCAGCTGGGTGCCGAGCATGCAAGGAGCCTACAAGTGTTTAAAGAGAGGGTGTAAGAGTTCATGACGAGGAATCCATTGAGGCACTGGGGGTCACTAATATAGAGACAGCAATTCTGGTCCAGGAAGCCTGAGCAGAATTCCTGATCTCTTGTTATCCAGGTTCAGTGATTTAAAAACATCAACCCTTTTTAGCTCCAGTTTAGCATCATTCTAAATCACAAGTAAAACCATTAAATAGTTCATTATATTGGACTACATTCACTAACAATGACCTGCGTGCAGAAATATTCCCAGGTGAAATATTGACAACAAAAACAGTTCACCAAATGGCTACTTGGTGCATGTCACAAAAGAATAGGAGACAGTATGAACACTGGACAGCATTTTAACTACAGGTCTTCTTTTTAATACATCTTTATGTTGTATTACACATGTATTTATTCAGCACCCGAGAGAAATACTCATTCCAAAAGTACATATACATTTGTATGACCT